AGGCTCTGAGCAGGGCTCTGTGTCAGAGGCAGAGAGGGGGACAGGGCCGTATGCCAGTTATCAGCTGCCTTCGGAGTCAGACATCAGTGAGGCAGACGAACTGCTGGAGCCTCTTCCCAGTGTGTGCATGCGCAGAGTTGCCAGGGGAAGGGAAGAGCTAAAGAACAGGGGTGGACTTAGGAGTAAGGCCTCAGGTGGACGGTGAATGGCCCCTCCCAGAGGGAATAAAAGAGGAGCGGAAGGGGAGTGGAGCTTTTGCGGGAAACAATTCGTTTGTTTGTTTCAGGAGTGTGAAGATCTGTCCGTGAATCTCAGAGACTCTGTGCCAAATCTTCCCTTGCTCAGCACTGTGTCCCTTAAGTCACTGAAATCGCCTAGGCACGCTCGTTGGGCTACTCACCGTTTGCCCCTCCACAGCCGCCCTCTGACGGCCCAGGACGTCCTGCAGTTGTGTAAAATGCTGGATGAAGGAGATGACCTCCGCTTGGAAACGCTGGGTGTGGATGTACTGCACTGAAGCCATCCTCAGGCTGACCCTCACGTCGCACTCTCTCTGCAGGAACAAGTCCGGCCGGCCGTACCTTGGGGGGGGGACACAGACAACCAATGTGGATTCTCTTTTTAACCCAACAGGTTTATTCTGGATCTTTGATCGGAACAAGAGCGGATGCCGTGTCTGCAGGCCTGCGAGGCGAAGGCCGAGAAATCTAGAGACAGTCAGTATTTGTCCCTCCCTTCAGAAGAAGGGAAAGTGGGCATGAAGACTAAGCTCAGGAAGCGGAGTAGGAGATGTATGGGGTGTGTGGACTGCATTTGGGAAGGAAAGAAGGAAGGAAGGAAGGAAGGAAGGAAGGAAGGAAGGAAGGAAGGAAGGAAGGAGAAAGGAGGAAAAGGAAAGAAGGGGAATAGAAAAATAAATTAGGAAGAAGGAAGGAAGGAAAGAGAAAGAAGGAAAAGGAAAGGAGAATAGAAAAAGAAATTAGGTAGGAGGAAAGGATGGGAAAGAGGGAGGGAAGAAGATGGAAGGGAGGGAAATAGGGTGGGAGGGAGTGAAGGGAAAGAAGTAAGGGAAGAGATGGAAGGGAAGAGGAAGGGAAGGAAGAAGGGAAGTAAGTAAGCAGGAAAAGAAGGAAATAGGAAGGAGGGAGACGGAAGGCAAGGAAGCAAAGTGGGAAGGAAGGAAGATGGGAGGGAGGAAAGAGTGAGGGGGAAGGAAGTAGGGAAGGAAGGAAGCAGGGAAGGAGGGAGGAGTTGGAAGGGAAGGAAGGAAAGAGAAAGGGGAGGAAGTAGGGAAATAAGTAAGCAGGAAAGGAAGGAAATAGGGTGGCAAGGAAGGAAGGAGATGGAAGGCAAGGAAGGAAATAGGGAAGTAATGAAGCAGGGAAGGCGGGAGGGAGGGAGGAGATGGAAGGGAAGGAAGGAAAGAGGGAAGGAAGGGAGGGAGGGAGGCTTGTTCCCACCAGGATATGCCTCAGTTGCTCAGAAAGTAGCAGGTAATCATTAGCCTCCAAAATACCCCCAAGATCAAGATACTCTGAGCGTCCAGTTATCATACCACATTTTACACACACACACACACACACACACACACACACACACACACAGAGGTAAGAAAAGGAGATTCCGCCACCTACTTGTGGATGTGGAAGATGAGGGCTTCCTCCCCGCTGGTGGTGAAGCGTTCCCTGTACAGCTCCCCGTGGGAGGTGAGGTCGCTTAGGGACAAACTCCCGATGCTGCCCCGGAAGGTCAAATCCCCTTCTGCAAGATTAAAAGGTTCCACCTGAGCCACGGTTAAAACAGGCCACGCCAAGACACGGTTCGCTCAACTGAACTGGGATTCGTGGCCTAAAGCACAGTTGGCCTCTCTTCTCCAACACGGTAAAGTTTCTTTTTAATTTATACATTTTTTCTTTGGTGTACATAACTGCTTAATCACAATGTATTGTCTGGATTAATTTACATTAAATAATAATAATGATAATGATAATGATAATGATGATGATGATAATAATAATAATAACAACAACAACAGTGGAGAACTGAGTTGGCAGTAGGGAATGAGAACTACGGAACTACGGAATGGTTAATATCAAGCGAGGAATTTTCCAGGGTGATTCACTTTCACCTCTTCTCTTCATTATCGCGATGATACCACTATCAGTAATCTTAAAAAAAAATGAAATTAGGCTACCAAACAGCCAAAGAAGCTGAAAAAAAATTCTCATTTATTATATATGGATGATTTGAAACTCTATGGAAAGTCAGAAATAGAAATCCAATCACTGACAAACACAGTCCGAGTATTCAGCACTGATATTTCAATGCAGTTTGGCATGGAAAAATGCGCCACTATATCCATAAAATGTTCAGTTAACGGAGTGTCATCTTTAATGAATAAAAGTTTATAATAACGGTAACGTTATTTATTTATACATAATGTTAATCTATCCTCCTTTACTTGTACATAGTAGTCACCTTTCATTTTTCTGATTTCTCTATTTTCCAACCATGTATTTAAAAAAATCCCATGTTTTTTTAAAAAAAAATTCTGTACATCCCCTTATCTCTACTGCCAACCTATCCATTTCCGCGCCTTCTAATGTTTTTTTAAATTATATTTTCATCTGTAGGAGTTTCCTCGTTTCGCCAATCCTGGGCAAACACAATTCTCACTGCTACCAAGACCTGTAATATTAAATATGCGTTCCCTTTATTGTATAGTTCTGATGTTATGCCTAATCAAGAATATTCCCGGCTTTAAGTCTAGATGTCGCTTTCTCAGTTTTGTCTAACCATGTGCGTCCCAAAAAGTTTTTAAGTTTGAAACTCCTCTGGTTTGCTGCCCAAAATCAACATTATGGTTGTTGTGTCTTAAAAAGGGAACCAATTACCGTGTTTCCCCCAAAATAAGACAGGGTCTTATTTTGCTTTGACCCCTCCAAAATAAATCCTTGGCCTTATTTTCGTTTTTGTGTGTGTGTGTGTGTGTGTGTGTTTGTGTGTGTGTGTGTGTGTGTGTGTGTGATTAATTTGAGGTGCAGGAGCCAGCGAGCGTAATTATCTCATGGCTGCTGCTGTGTTGCAATATTTTCGGGGAGGGGTTAGTTTGGCGGGAGGGATTATTTTAGCGCATGCTCTCAAAAGCCCAATTGGACTTATTATCCAGAGAGGTCTTATTTTTTTGGGGGGGGGGAAACAGGGCATTATCAGACCATTTTTCCCCCTTTCTGAAGTTGGGATAAATTTAGAGAGAGAGATATTTCAATCTCATTTCTTTTCCGTGGGCATTTTAAAACTTCAACGCCGCCCGATTTTTGATGGGGTGTTTTAGAGGCAGAGAAACCATTTTGCTGAGTGGGCTAAAACGAAAGTGTGATATTTTTTTTAACCTGCTAGCAAGGACTTTAAAAGGTAGGACACAAACCACCCCCCAAAGGATGACTGAGTTGTCAAACTGACACCTTGGAAGGGGTATGGAGACTGACCTCTAGTCTCCATGTGGGTCACCAGCTTGGATACGTTGGCTTTGGCCAGTTCGTTGGTTGCCTTATTCAGCACCATGGACAGAGAGTGGACCTGTTGAAAGGGAAAGAAGGGGCGTCAAACTGACAGTCACATCGAGGTCTCCTTCTTCAAAATATGGCCAGCCTGGGACAGGTAGTCCTCGACTTACGACTGTACTTGAGCCCAGAATTGATCTTGCAAAGTGAGAAAGGAGCTCAGTGAGTCTGGCTCTATTTTGCGACTTTTCTCGCCAGGTTGGCTAAGTTAATCCCTCCTCCTCCTCCTTCTCCTTCTCCTCCTTTTTCTTCTTCTTCCTCCTCCGGTTCTCCCTCTTCGTCTTCCTCCTCCCCCTCCTCTTCCCCCTCCCCCTCCTCTCCTCCCCGCTCTTCTTCTTCTCCTCCTCTTCTTCCTCTCCTCCTTTTTCTTCTTCTTCCTACTTCTCCCTCTTCTTCTTTCTCCTCTTCCCCCTCCCCTTTCCGCTCCTCTCCTCTTCCTCCCCCTCTTCTTCTCCTCCTCTTCTTCTTTCTCCTTCTCCTCTTCTTTCTCCCCTCCTCCTCCCGCTTCTCCCTCTTCTTCTTCCTCCTCTACCACCTCCTCTACCTCCCCCTCCTCCCTCTTCTTCTCCTCCCCCCTCTTCTTCCTCTCCTCCTCTTCTTCCTCCTCCCCCGCTTCTCCCTCTTCTTCTTCTTCCTCCTCCTCTTTCTCCTTCTCCCTCTTCCTCCCCCTCTTTTCTTCTTCTTCTTCCTTCTCCTCTTCCTTCTCCTCCCACCCTCTTGAGCTACAAATGCTGCTCTCTTCTTCTCCTTCCTCCTCCTCCTCCTCTCTGGTTTTCCCCCATTCATCGGAAGGTGGCAAAAAGGGAACGCGTGACCTCGGGATGCCGACACCGTCATAAATGTGAGTTCAGCTGCCAAGCGTCCGAATGTAAATCGCTATGGAGATATCTGCAACGGTCACAAGGGTGAAAACTGGTCATCAGTCACGTTTTTCAGTGTGGCCGTCACTTCAAACGGTTACAACAATGGTGTAACTGTTGAACAGTACAGGTTTGTCCTTGACTCACAACCGTTTCATTTAGTGACTGTTCAATGTGAGACGACACTGAAAAAAGGGACTTAGGGCTGTTTTTCACACTTAGGACGGCGGTGGCATCTCCGCGGCCACAGGATCAGAATTCAGATGCCTGGCAAATGACGTACGAAATGAATGTCGTGTTTACGACGGTCACAGTGTCCCCAGCGGCCTTCTGACAGGGAAGGCCAAGGGGGAAGCCAGATTCATTTAACGACCGGGTTGCCAACTTAACAAACAGAAAGATTCCCCTTAACAAACACGGTGAGAGAAGTCGTGAAACGGGGCTTAAGACTCCCTTAATGCATTTCCCACTTCGCTGGAAAACTTTTGGGGGCTCGTAAGTTGAGGACAGACGCATTTACGAACGTTGCGGGATAACTCCTCCGCTACCTACCTTGAGATCCAGTTTGGAATTGACGGACTCCTCCTGCGCCTCGTCGTCCGGCGAGGGATTGAACTCCGATTTGGCGGCCTGCTGTACCTCCCCGCTCGGCGTCAACCTGACGCCGTGATTCTCGGCCGTGGACCCGATGCTGAAGAAATCCAGGATCACCACCCAAGTCTGCAGGGTGATGAGGATGTCCAGGCAGTTGAAGTCAATGTCCACGCTGCGGTGGATCCTGTCGTAGCGCGAGGAGAACTCGGGGTGCTTCTTGTCCACCAGGAGGACGTTGATGTGCACCAGCGAATCGTCGAAGTCGCTCCTTCCGGAGGGCGCGGCCAACTCTCTGGCGGTGGGGGAAGGCGGAGGGGTCAGCGGGCAGCCCTCCTCGCCACCTTCGTGGTGCCTGGGATGAGAGACGCAAGAAGGCCGCTGGTAGAACTGGAAGACGTTGGGGGCCTCCTCCATGTGGGAGGGGAGAGAGCGGGGCATGTCCGGGTACTCCACATTGGACACCAGCGGGCAGGATTGGGAGAGGTACTCCTTGTGGGCCAGGCTGGAAGGTTTGGGGGCCCCGTGGGACACCATGAGGTTTCTGTACGGGGAGTCGGGGTTCTTCACCAGGAGGTCTTCCATCAGCAGGGAACGCAAGGTGGTCTGGATGGACAACGTGTGCGGGTGGTCCTTGGAGAACTCCACGTCGAAGTCCTGGAAGGTCAAGCTGACCAGGCCTTGGGCCCCCAGGGTCAGATCGCCGCTGAGCTGGACCTGCAGCCAGGCGATGTGGAACATGGCTTGGATCTGAGTGAAAGACTGGGAGGCTCCCTGGACCGGCCTCGGGCCTTTGGCATCGGAATGGGTCGCGTGGCTGAAGAAGCCGTTTTCCTTCCGGCCGGCGGGGAAATCGGCGCTCAGGCTCCGGAGACAGGCCGAAGGAGAAGCCAAGCTGGAGTAAGTGGACGACGGGAAGCTGGACGGCGGCTTGGTCAGATCCTCGTTGCACACCAGGTTGTCCATCGTCTGCATCACCTGCTCGTAGACGTGCTTGGCCAAAATCACCTGCGGGGTTGGGAAACGAGAAGGTGAGCGCCATTCGGATTTCGTGGGATATCGGATTTAATCGTTTGCGCTTATAAACCCCGCTTAAAGTTGACAAGGTGGACAAACATTCCGATACAGGTACGATTTGTGATACTGTGGCCTAGAGGAGGAGTGTTCGCCTCACGATTGGGAGGCTTCTGAGTTCGATCCTAGACAGAGGCAGATATTTCTCTTTCACTGGGCACACTGAGAATATAACTGCTGAACAAAACTCCGCTCTGGTGACATGAAAGGCATCAGGCCACTCAGTTCCATTCAGTTGCCCCAAATCCACCCCACAAGACATTATGGGGTCATTAAAGAATGAACCACAATAACAACATCACGTAGACCTTATGTTTGTTTAGTGACTGCTCGAAGTTACAACGGCAAGGAAAAGTGTGTAAAATTAACTGTAATTTTGAAATTAAATTTTAAAAAAAATTATTTTTAAATTTTTTTAAAAAATTTACCTGCAGAGGGTTGACGAACTTCCCTTCGATCCTCATCAGGCTTGAAATGTTGACACTGTCGCTCGGGGAGAAGGCCAGCTCCGCGTTGGGCTCAATGGGGATCTTCTCCAGGATGAACTGAATGGTGGCGTTGTTCAGAATGTGGAAGGCTGAAAGGGAAGGGACTCGGGTGACGTAGTTGGAAACTCTTTTTTATCTTATTGTTTCCCAACGAAAATGACTTTTAAGGCACTCCAGCATCTGGAATTAAACTGGCTGGGAAAATTCTGGGAGTTGGAAGCCCGCCTATTGTCAGGCCTGCCATTATATTCCTTTTAGAATTTTGGCCTGCCACACTTTCTCTTATTTCATTATGCTGTTTCTTTAAGTATAGTCGATGGGAGGTGAGAATAGACAGGAGTGAGATTGTGGAATGTATTGTTTTCATTCTTTACTAGAAGCCAAGGTCATCTTTTGTCTCCGCACTTTTACACCTGAC